CATATCCATTCGGTTCTTTTGCACTATATACATTTTATTCTCCCCAGATTGATGTACTTGGACCCAATTATAAAATGCATGGCAAATACTGTATGATCTTCAGCTTCTACTACTCGTCTATTTTTCTTATTTGATACATTTCTATTTCATTTTTTTTCATAACTCTCACCTTCGCCCGCTTCGTTTGTCTTGATCACTTGCTTATCCATTTGTTTACTTTTCCCTGTTTCGTCTTTAGGCTGTACGATTGGCTAATGAGTTTTGTTTGGAGGTCAGTGGCGAGGCACAGCTGGCTTTAGCCAGTTTAGCTGATTCGCAGTATACCGATGTTTCGGCTTATCTTTCCTCGGCCGAATTTGCTCTTCGACGTCAATTACTTGTTTCCGCCAGACGTGACTCGGCTTGCCTTGCTGAGATGGGTGAAAAGAGGTTAGTCTACACAATCTTCCAATTGCTTTGAACCTGGTGCTTTGTTCAGAAAGCTGTTTATGGTTATAAACGTGCCCTTATCACGCAATTTCGTGATCTTAAATTATTATATAAGAAGCAGACTAACCTAAAGTCAATTAGGTTATTCAAAGTCTGATATTTGAGTTGACAACAATTAGATGATTTGAAGGGCCGTGCCATTGAGCTTCACATATCTTTGACTCTTAAAAGGAGTAGTCGTTCTTGAAGCCGGGATTCGAAACCAAATCGTGAGCATCAACTTCAACGCTTTACTGCTGCCGCAGTCCGCGTGTCATTGGTCACAGATTCCTTGTTCATTTGTTAAGAAGCAAGAGGCCTTGTGCTGCCTTTCTAGCGTACTGTGATTGACTTTAATGATACTTTGTGTGTCCGCCTTTGGTAGGTAGAACTCGAGTTGCTCTGGCAGTGTCCACCTTCTGTGTCTCTGGGTTTGACGCAAGGTTGGGTTGTTAAAAGGAGTAAGTTCTATGGACGCGGTTTCAGTGTCTATATGTGCTTAATCGGAGATATGAATATCACGATGGTGGGGTCTAGGAATCAAGGAACACCAAAGACTCTACCAAAACATGGACACTGAAAGATACGAAATAGCGGAACACATCGTACGAACGGGACACGAAATCAAGTGGCTGCATATGTTGAAAATACATAAAAACGTAAGATAATAGAAGCTATTGATATTCTGACAGAAAGTAACCTAATGAACAGGAGACTTGAAGAGAGCAGGATTAGCGAAAACTTTACATACTGCCTAAACAAACTCGGAGAAAGTCAGGGAACAGCAATATCAATAAAATGAAGACGACTGGACACAGGTAGTACTTTTAATTTTAGGAAAATAAATTACAAGTTGACCAGGGAAGAACAGTGAGCCTATTCAAATCAAGTAGATCCATCACATTTGGGGGCTGGAACTCGATATAATGCCATAAAGAGTGAGAGAAACGATAGTGGCCATTTCTAGTAGGCTATTAGTAGATAAATTTGCTCAAAGACGTGGTCCATGAAGTAAAGGCTTGACCAGGAGATTTACTCAGTGCACATGCGGCACAGCAATAAGGGAATCAGCTGCGTCAAGTTAGGTTTCCATGCCAAATGAGAATTCAGACTTTAGGGGCTTGCGCAGTACGACTGGTGTATACGTTCTATCAAAGGATTGAGGCAAAGTGTAGAACAACGCCTTGAGTAGCACAGACACGGTCGCAGCGATGGCGTGAAATAACTGAAACAGGCAGATAAGGCAAGGATCCTACGGAGCAAGAGGGTACTCTGGTAGGAACCGAAGAGAGAGGATTGCGTATTAAGCTGCAGCCTTAGATCGGCACTCCTGGCGCAGTGGGAGGGATGAAGAAATCATCGGGTTTATAATAGGTTTGGATTAACAAGTGAGAAATTGTGATATTGAAGGGGTGAATAGCCTAGGAGAGGAGAGATACGACAACTGTTTAGTAGACAATCGGTCAGAGGCTCGACTTCACTTGTCTCTAACGCGTTATAGTGTGATGCTAAGACTTGCAAAGCTCACAGACGATGCCGATTACAATCCAGGCAAAACGTCTGGGAATTTAGTATGTCTACGGTCCGACTCTTAAAATTATCTTGCATACTATGGGCTCCGGATAAGAGGCGTTCATCTAAGTCTTCCTGCAAATATGAAAAAGTTGCGAAAACAGGATCAAACAAGTTCTATATGTACTTTACTGTGCTACTCCCTGTGCTGAATGAGCATCATCCTCCCGGTATTTGGATTTCAACCTACTCTATGAATGGTGGATTTCCGTCAAGCGTGGTTTCTGACTTACGATGGCCATCAAACGACGTGTAGAAGTCTAGAACAGGATGGCGAGTCGATGTCTATCAGTCTAGCCCAAGGCACCCCGTTTTCGTTGTCCTGTGACACAAATTTAAGTATCACTATTACTCCATTTTTAAAAGAAAAGCATGTCTGAATCAATATATTAAAGGATTCTTCGAAACCCAGCTTCTTTTCATATTATATTGGAATATGTGAATACCAAGATAATGTGGCAATATTCGCAATCTCCTTTTGCTGTATAGTAGTTGTTTGACCTTGTTTTCGCAACTTGGTGATATTGACAGGAAAACCTAGAGGAACGCACATTGCCCTGAGTCCATAGTATGCATATTAACTAATAGAGTAGAGCGTGGACTTGGTACATCTTTTGACGTTTCGCCGGCATCGTAGTCGGCATCGTCACGGAGTCTTGCCATTCTCAGTACCAAACTATAACTCGTCAAAGAGACAAGTGAAGCCAACGAATAATTTTATTTCTTAATATCAGTAGGCCTAAATATTTACTGATTATATGCTTCTTTGTAATGTAGTTTCTGATTTAAATTCGTACTTTGTTTGACGCGCTCAATTCATAAGCTTTAATATATTACATATATTAGGCTACTCTGTGAAGCTAAACCCATTGGTTTTAGTTTTTATTCAGGTTAGGGCTTATGATTTACTTTAGAATTCATAAGAGGCCTAATTTTCTCTCTTTGTTTGTTCTCTTATTTGTCTATCTCACTTCGGATAATTTTCTTTTTACTTCCCTATTTCGGAGTCACCGGATTGAATTGCATCCTTCAAACGATATTTTGAATATACTAGATGCACTCTTATCTATTATTCTTAATTCGCTAATATGTTCTTTGAACATGCTTGGTATGCCATCATAGAAATTCATTCAGTTAAACGCCTTTAATTGTGTCCTTGTCTTTATTTTTTTAATTACATTCCTCCTCTTTGTGACGAGAAGCCGTTTGCTACGCCTACTACAGCGCCAATCCGATCTGGAATTCGCCGAACTAGAAAGCTTATCTAACGACCGTGAACGCTATCTGATGGACGCATTAGCCGCCTATTGCCATTGTTTGATAGTCTCTGATCAGTTCAATATTAAGGTCGGCCAAAGATTCGATTTATATGAAATTAGATATTACGATTATTTAAAATGCTTCACTATCATATATTTCCGTACAACTAATCTTGCAACTTTGCATCTTTTTTCAGATTACTTGACTATATTTGGGTGATATACTTTATATACTTAGTTCACCTACATAATCGATACTTACACAATATTCGATAAATCTTCCTAAGCGAATTTTGCCTCAGACTCTTCTGAATCACGT